TAAATTGCACTAAAGGTTGCTTTTCCACGCGAGTTTCAGAGTTAGGAACCTCGCATTGAACCATCTGTATAAGCTGGGGGGCAGAGAGGGGCTAAGCAACCCTATCGCGGCATAAACTCGACCGAGTGTAGACGGGAGGAAGGATATATAAACAATTCCGACCGCATAAAGCACCCAGCTTTCATCACAGCACCACCAGTACAGGTGCACAGTTCGAAGCAGACCCCACGGTACAGGAGCACCGGATTGGCACGCCGTGCACAAGCGACATGCACGTGACGCGAGTTCGGTAACGCGTGCACTCTCCAAAAAATCAATAGCGGGAATATTCGTTCTGCGTGTGAAGTGTGCCAACAATGACGGGTAGGTAGGTTAGGCTAAACAGAAGCCGGTATGAAAACAGCCGTGAGCAGCAAAAAATGTCTGCTGCCGGTTTAGCACTGCTATTGTACATCTTAAAACAAGATAAACAAGAACAAAATGTCTGAATTTCAGAAAGACGCAAGGGCCATTGAGAGAAGACAAAGAAGAATCAAAAGATCGAACGGCAACGAAGCCAATCAACCTCGCGACACATTGTTGAATCACGTTTTTTCGGCGGGCTATAGTAATTACATGAGCCTGTCACGAACAGGGACCCGGGCAAAAATGCTTAGTAACCAAGTACATTCATTTAGGAAATCTGAAGATGTTTGCGTCTCCTCCACCTCCAACATACTGACGGACCGTTCGAGGCCCAAATGCAATACTCAAGTTAAGCAGTCGGATTATTGCACAACAAAGACCGGTGAGCAGATGATTTCCGCAGCAAATACGGAAGGGAGACCAGATGCCAATGATTACTTTGGCAGAAGGAATGCCGATGGGGAATTTGGGCGGGAGGATACTCCACCATCACGACCACCGAAGTCTAAGTACAAAGCGCATCAGAGTCTTAGGCAATGGATTGAGACGAGAGAAAACGTCGAATTATTAAGAAGAAGAGAACACGGCGAATGGAACGAGTTTGGCAAAAGTAAAAGACGTAAGAGTTCTCCAGCATACCCAAAAAGCTCTGATCGCCAAGTTCAGGTTCAGCCAGTGACAGTGGAAGCTGACTATGCCGAAGGGATAGATGCAGTAACATTACACAGACAACTGAAATCGCTCCTGGTGGACAAGTCAGAGCCCAGTTCTAAAAAGCTGATGCGCCTCAGCTGCGAACTTAAAAACTACATAGCTCTCAGAAGGGAGAAGATGCAGGTAGAATTGGCTATGGCTTCCACCAGGGTGTTCGAAGCAGAAGAAAGTCAGCAGGATAGGCCGTCAAGTCTTGCGCCAAGTAGGGTAGTTTCGCCGGATGACGTAGAGCCAAGGACCTCGGTTAACTCCAGATCTGGATATCAATCACTTACTGAAAATGCAAATGCCTCTGCTCCGCAATCGGTGCGGAAAGGTGGAAGCTCCGTTCGCTCACCTCGACTGACGCAAAGCACATCAGCCTCAAGCTTAGCTTCTGCCGGGCGGATGAGTGAGGGTGCCAACAAGAAGGAACGCAAAGGTTGCTTTGGTCGTGGGGAGAAGAAAAATGAAGACGCAAACGAGCAAGACTTGTCGCATGCAAGCAAGAGGACCTCAAGTGTAGCGAGAACAGCGAGTAAGACGAAAGGGGTTTCCGTCGGGAGAAAATCCACCAATGAACAGAAACCCCGAGGTTGTTGTGGTTGTGGGAAAAAGAAAAGTGACGATGAAACAGACCTGGGCCTGTCATCTGAACTCTCGTCTGAAATGAGTACCGTGTCCAGAAGAAGTAAGGAGAGCTCGGTTGTCTCGTTCCCTCGGAAGTCATCGTCAAAGCCTGGCTCCCCATCAAGCGCAATTCCAGGTGCTGAAAAAGTGGGAGTAGGAGGAGGACAAGCAGGAGGAGGAGGAAAACCAGGAGGAGAAGGACAAGCAGGAAGAAGAGGAAAAGCAGGAGGAGGGGGAGGACAAGCAGGAGGAGGAGGAAAACCAGGAGGAGAAGGACAAGCAGGAA